AAAAAACTTAAAAATTTTTTAGCAAAAACGATAAATCCGGGAACTGAAAGCTTTCTTGAGATGTATACTTCGAAGTGTCCTCCACAAACTACTGGAAAAAAACGGGTGGGGAGACCCCCCCCCTTAAGTGTAATATGAGTGCCTTTACGTGACGCTCTGATACCTACACTGATTGCAAAACAAAAAGGTGAATAAATAGTTGGTCTAGAAATTCCTGGGCAAATTCGCCAAAATCAAAAACGAATTTCTTGATTCGTGGGAGTTATTTATAGAAATTCAATCGATTTTCTGGAAAGTGGAAATTCACAAACGAATTTCTACGATATGGTCGCAAATACAGATATTCTATTTTGGTTTTGTAATATACGTGTTTTTAAAGAGTGTACTGTGGTGATATAAAATGGATTTTGCGATTTTGTCTTCATATTTGGTTTTGGAGAATGCCCAAAATCACTTCTAAAGTCATAGTTTTTCGGTAGAAGAGCACTTTTATCTAATACTGGATTAAAACTCTGGACCTAATCATATATTTTATCCTAAAATTTGCCAAAAAAATTGATTTTCTTAGTTAATGACTTGGCTTGGTTTTACAGACCAAGTCACAAGTCAAGTCAAATTATAAGTAACAAAAAAAATGCACCAAATCAAGGCATTTTTGACTTGTCTAGCCCTGATACAGTTCTATTTCACTTGAAATAAAAAGCATTTTCTTATAGGAGTTATTCAGTTATAGCTGAGTCAGAATATGAAAGTATTGTGCAGAAAATTCATATCGAGTAACCTTTTTTGTTAAATAAAGGTGTAAATATCATTCACACCATATAAGTCAGGCAAATGAAATCGAAAAGAAGAGTTAGACTAAATTTTTTTGACATTCATTTATCCTATTAAAGCAAATTGACGTCGATTTGATTGATGATTTTCTTTAAAGATCTTACGATAAATGTTATGTTTTCTTTACTATGCACTCGATTCGAATTGATTTGTTAAAATACCTGATGGATTATGGTCTATATATCATTCTGACACATGTCTGAGTTATCAAGTGGTACAGATTTTCTAGTGTATATATCCTAAAACTTCTTGAAACCTTGAAAAAGTACTCGTATTTACTGTGAAAAATATTCAATGAATGTCAGTTCTCAAGTATTTTGTCCTTCATTAAGGTTTTTATCATATGTCTGAGTGTCATTGCTGTTTTAAAACGTGTATTTGACTCGAAAAATAGATTAAAAAAAAACATCATTCTATAAGTAAAATAAAAATATTTATTCATGTTTATGCATCTGTTTCTGTTTTTGTTGTGGGTTGTGCCGCTGGATTTCGGCTAAAACTCACACTAGCAAATGGTGATGTGATTGATCGTGTTACTTGTGGTACCGATGGTAATGGTTCTTTTCTCATAAATTTTACGATAATAAGCAAAACACCACCAATCACTATACCAACAAGAATTCCTCCTAGAATTGCACCTGCTATTGAATGTTTAGAATATTTAATTTTTTCTGTTGCTTTCAATCTTGAATGGGATGATATATATGTTTTTGATTCTACCAATGAATTTTTAATAGCATTGACAGTTATATTATATTTATCATTATCTAATAATTGAATACCAAACGTTAATTTATTATCATTAATAGCTGATTCTAACTGTTTTCGTGCTTGATCAATATTTAATTCATTTGGATCATTTATCAAAGGTGTTTTGTCTAATAATGTGAACATAACATAGATTGTTTGATCTTGTTCATCATGATCAATTTCTAAATGAGATATACGAGATGGACGGATATTCATTTGTGTTGCTGTTTGATAATGTACGTTTCGCATTAGATCACGACGATCTAATTGAGCATCTTCAATTTCATTTTCTTTTCTTGATACTTTTAAGTTATAGACTAAATGGGCGTATTTTAAGTCATTTGACCGATAACATAACGATGTATCAAATTCATTACCATGTACATCACCATTATATTCATAAAAATAATATTCAACATCTTCAGTTCTAAAACCTGGTCCTTCACCACCAGTTCTTTTAAATAATTTTAAAAGTAAGTGTACAGGATAATCGAATCGTTTGGTACACGGTGGTGTTTGACATGGAGGTGGTGGTGACATTGGATTTCGTTGTGACCATGCCCATTCAGCATTAGTTGCATCCCATGTTTCTTCTGTCTCTGGTAATTCTGGAAAATTTTCAAATGAGGTGGTTACTATAACACATTCAATTGCTCCACCACGACATGGGCGTAAACCATTAAATTGATATATTTTATTTTTTGGATCATTACTAATAATGTATTGTTCATATTTAATAAAAAATTCAATTGGATTTTTTACAATATCTAATGATTGAAAATCAAGACCTTGAGTAATTGTACAAGAACCTACACGACGATCAATTATGTATTTAATACCATGTGTATAATCCAGTATTATTGTTTCAAAATCATCACCCAACGGTTTATAATCAATACGCATCATTTTTGATTCACGAGTAGTTTCCATTCGTAAATGAAATGTATGCCATAATGCTTGCCTTGATGTTATTGCATCAATTCGTACACTAAAACGATTTGACCATATAATACCTTGTTCTTCAAGAGAAAATAAAGTATCATCACCATATCCACTACAAAATATACCACGTGGTGGTGAAAATAGGTCAGATCGTTCAGTAATACCCGGTTTATAAGATATAACATTAAATATTTCATCTATTTCAGCAACATGTGTCCCATTGATCGACTTCGATGAATTTATAAGAGCTTGTACCGGTGTGGATGTAGTTATCTGTCCAGTTGGCATTAAATAGTCTGATCTAGCAAATGACCATTCTCGTCTAGTTGTGCGTTGATTAACTCTATCTAGGATACATGTTTCCCATTTATGAACGGGTATACCACGTACAATATCTTCACCAATATATTTTGGTTGAATAGTTGGCTCTGCTAGATTGTTACTAGAAAATAGTAAAAATTCATGCAATGGTCTTATATGTGGTTGTCCATTAACAAAAATTGCCGACGTTCCATCCATAGGCACGTTCGTTTCAATAGTTGTCACATTACAAAATGAACGTGCATAATATGCTGCTTTTTTTAAAATAGAATAATGATAATGTTCGGCATCAATAATATTATTCATATTTTTAACCAATACCAATGAATTCGCGTCATAATCATAAAAATATTCAAACATCATATGCTGGACGGTATGTACTCCAAGACCTTCTACGGTTCCTACTTGAAGAATTTCTAGCGCAAATTGAGCTTTGGTTGGAAATGTAGGATATATACCGGGAGGAATATTTGATGGATTTGGATCCGGTTGACATACAGCAGGATCACCATTCCACTCTTGACAATGAACAACGATAGATAAAAATATTAATATCCAACTTATGGTTATTAATGTCCTCATTTTATATTATTTCTTTATGTTTTCTCTTTAAAAATGTTAATATATAATATTTTAAAAATAACACACACTTACATAGATAATATACTACTTGTACGTTAGTCGAAATACACTTATATACTCTGTTAAAATGCAACAAAAAAAATTGTTGTTTACCTACTTTTTTTGAATTAATAAAGATAATTTCAAGGAGCAACGAAAAAAGAATAAAGATACCTATGAATTTTTTAAGAGTTAAAACATCATCG